TACAACTTTAGTACGCGGAGCAATCTGTAGAGCTGGAAGCTGAGAACTGGCGACTTTCAAGTACAACTTTAGTACGCGGAGCAATCTGTAGAGCTGGAAGCTGAGAACTGGCGACTTTGTAGTACAACTTTTGTACGCGGAGCAATCTGTGCAGCTAGAAGCTGAGAACTGGCGACTGTGTAGTACAACTGCAGTACGCGGAGCATCTGGTGAGCTGGAAGATGAGAACTGACTGGCGACTTTCTAGTACAACTTTACACGCGGAACAACCTGTGGAGCTGGAAGCTGAGAACTGGCCACTTTGTAGTACAAGTGTAGTACGCGGAGGAGTCAGCTCTCGCTGCTGTGAGTCATCTCTCGCGACTGAGTCAGCTCTCGCTATAGCCATCTCTCGCGGCTGAGTCATCTCTCGCTGCTGAGTCATCTCTCGCGGCGTGCAGGTTTGGCACAGTTCATACTGATAGTATTTGGTTGCATTTATGCAGGACAGGACATTCAACTGCTGGTCAATACACCACTCATCATACACCACTCAGCATACACCACTCATCATACACCACTCGTCATACACCCCTCTTGTCGTGGCAAAGATACAACCCAGTACGCTGTTGTGAGCTGCTGATCCTGCAGGGGGCACACACCTTACACACGTGGAATCCCGTGGGTCAAAAGTCCGGAGCGCGTGCGTTTGACTGGAGGACGCGCATGTTGGAGAGAACGTGGAACTCCTATAGGTCAATTTGTTCTTATAGGAAACTTCCGCCGCTGGCTTGCCCGGGAACTACTTGTATCAGTATGTATCAGTCATATTCCCATCATATCCGCCGTTGGTCCACTGTGGCCTATCAGGCTTCCAACGCTTGGGCTGCTTTGGGTCCGCATCACATTTCTCAAGGCGGGCAGCCTCATGTAACTCCTTCTCAGTGAGCTGTTTGAAGTAGTCAACATTTTCGACCTTGGAGAGGAAGGAGTCATTCAATGGCCCATCGGTGCTAAGATCTAGACAAGCAGTACGATCGTGGTCGCTGTTTTTGCTAAGGCACGTTGTCCATCAATAAAGCCTTGATGGCACTTCTCCGTAACACACTGCCTCCTGGCCCCAGCAAGCTTTCCAAAGATTTCCTGCCCAAAGCCAAGCAAGTCCTGATGCAAAACAACAACAGGTTCCCCACTACTGCAATGTAAGCGTGACAACGAACCTAGTCATTTGTGGGACCACATTTGTTGGCTGAGGTCAGAGAGAATGTTTGCTTCTTGGAACGGTTGAACAGCTAAGGCTATGGCACTTTGTCAACCGCACTGGCACCACTGCAGTTTAGGCTAGAGTACATCCTTGGACCACAGAACAGCTCCCTTACGTAGGCATGCTCTTGCACGTGCAGTCTGCAGCATGAATCTCAAGCGGCCTGGTCAAGCATTTGCACAGAAGTTGCCGCCAAGCAGCACCCCCGAGCTGCCTAGCAATGCACCGGGCTTCTTGATCTCAGAGTTCCCGAACCTTGAGAGGGCAATGGCTGGCAGTAGCAGCGGGTTCCCTTATCATGTGTTTATCCCCGCAATCGGCGCAGCATCGGCGGGGGATATGTTTATGCTATATTGCTTTGTACAACACAGGTGAAATTGGGACCAGAGAGCTTCACCAAGAAACTGATCGACAATTTTCACAGTCCCCTCGATGACAATAAACATCCACTCGCCAACTTCCCCTTCTCTCAGGATCACTTCACCCGCAGCGAAGTTCTGGACAGAGCATGAGGTCGATAGGATGCTCTTCTCCTCCTTGGACATGTATTTAAAGGTTGAGTCGGACTCAAAGAAGTCCAGCCTTAGCAAGGAAGAAGCAGCAAAATGAGACCAAAAAAAAGGTGTGCATAAATCATTGTCACAAACAGTCTGCTCAGGCAAAGGGCGCCCGCTTCATGTGCTTGGAGCTCAACTGTTCCATGCAAACCTGGAAGTAGTCAGCTTTCAAAACAAGGCTTCTGTCAACCCGTGGGGGTCTGGGGCTCAGTCCAACAACACTACTAGCCTCTTGTTACTACTAGTAAGGCACCTGTTACTAGTAGCGTGGCACCTGTTACTACTAGCTCTTGGTCTATGCTATACATATACTGGCCATCAAACCTTGGATTCAAGTCTCCAGGCTGCAGCTGAGGTTCTCTGAATTGATCTGCGTGCATCTTCCAAAGCACCCCTTTCTCTTTACAGGTGACCGTGGCTGTTCTTGGCCTTGGAGCTAGTCACCAAGGAGATGGGGAAGGCGACGGAATCGGATTCCACATCTTGCGGAAATCTCGGTGCGGCAAAGAATCCGCAAAGGTTTCAGGAAGGAAAATGCACCGGCGGGGAGGAAAGACAACAACAGTTGTGTTTGTTCAGTCCAAACCTGGCTACAAAGAAGCGAACTGTGATGTGCAAACCCCAGCTCAGCCCTGCCAGGTCGATTCTGCAAATGCTTGGCTTAAGCTCGAGTGGCACGCTGTAGAGCATAGCTAATTCACCAAAGCTATGCTTGGAGCGCAGTTGTCTGACAGCTTTGTCATCCACACAGACTTCAAAGCTACCACTCTGGATGATGTACCAGCCTCAAAAATCAAGCAGCTCAAGATCCAAGGTTCTTCTGGCAGGGGGGCCAGGAACAGAACTTCACCAGGCCCTTCGAAGACTCTGAGCATCGCACAATCCCCAACCTCATGTTGAGCAAAGATTAGCTCATCTGGGCCAGCTTTCTGCATCTCGAAGTGGTCGACCACCATCTCCTGCTCATCCTGGGCTACTACTCGCTTCAATGTTTCTGCCAGTTCAACACCTGTGCCAGAGACTGGTCATTTTGCCGTTCACTTCTTCCCATGGCGCTTGCATGGCACCAGGTCTCTCCATCTCTGACAATTGAAAAGCAGAAATCCAATATTAAACTGCAGCCATGGGTGCATCATCTAAATTCCCAAAGACGAAATGCTTTTGCAGCACCTTCAGGATAAAGCGCCGGTTTTCAGCGCTGACCTGGCTGCTGTTCACACCCCCCCTGACAGACCTGCTCCCAAGGCCCTGGTACGTAGGATGATGCTTGGGTAAAACCAACGTAAGTCCAATAATCTGAGGGCTTCTGTCCCAGTCATGGGGGTCGCATCTTTTTTCTGCAACAGCTGGGGCTTCATTGGGCTTCATTCCTTAAGTCCTCGATGCCAATTCCTCATCAGCTGATTCGGGCCAGTTTCAGCGGCCCCGTTAGCATTTGTTTACGGTTCGGTGTGCAAAGTGCTTCTCGCCTAGAGGTGTTCGGAAATTCGGAACACTCTGAAATCTCTATGTATATAAACATATATAAACTATTGAATTGTCGAGCCAAGCCACAGTGCCCTTAACTGATTTTGGCGCGGCAGGGTCCTACCCAGAGTAGGACGTAGGATTGAAAAGGAAAAGTGCGATTTGAGTGGCGGAAATAAACTCTTTCTGAATGGATGAAACGGAGACTTCACGTGTTCTGTGTGTGACAACATGCCAAACATGGCTGGGCAACATGATGGGGAAAAGGACATCTATATATATATATAATCATTTATATACATATTGACACAGATTCTAGTGCTTAGTTAGGGCAAAACAGCAATGGCGGTAATCGGGTAATGTGTTCCCTTGCGTGTTGTTTGAACCCCTCAAAAAAGTCCTTCCCACCGCGAATTACTCTTGGCAACTTCTTGTCTTTTCTTAGACCTGTCATGCGAGTCATGTAGGAGATGGAGGTGCAGCGCTTCAATGTGCCTTTAAATTGACCGTGAACATTAACGCATCTCTTTGCAACTCAAGCATCACGCCTTGGCCAGATGGCGCACCTGGCTCACTCCTTGCACTGCATTGGGTGTACGTGGAAGAGAAGCTGGATGAATTTCCCACAACTGCGACGCTTAGTGTAGCTGTCTACCGTCTACTACTGAGTACTGTTTTCTCAGGTTCTCTGTCGCCTCTCTTTGTCCGTTTCTACTGACTGAGGTCCCAGCTCATTTTCACTGTTTCGACGAGGCGACACCTTTGGTCCACGTGTCTTTGAACACGGTGAAGAACTGTGTTTCCAGGTCAAGTCGGGTTATGTGGGATGAAGGCTCCCTTGCTTTGCCTTGCTCCAAAATCTCCCCAACTAACTAGGCGTGGGACATCAGCTGGCACCTCAGCTCTCAGCTATATCACACGAGCAGCCCAGAGACCGTCTCACACTACCAATTTGATTTTCAGTGCTGCCAAGACCGGCACAACGTCGGAATATTCCTGAGACAAAGGATGCTGGTCATTGGTCACACTGAATCAAACCAAGTGCACTTCTGGGCACATGTGCAACATGTTGCAAATAGATCAAACCATGCAATCAGAAAAGAAGCAAATGAAACCCAAACGTTGCCAGAGCCTTGTCGTTTGGATGAACCTTCTTTCCACCCAAAGAGCAGCCCATGCCTGCTGCCCAGCCGGCTGGCAGAGGTCTTTGATGACCCGATCAAACAATAACAGTACCGGCCTTTTTCCACAAGGCAGCCGGGTGCGGCTAGCTGCTTTGTCAGCCACCCCACTCACCTTGTCCAGCCAAAGGCACAGAAGATTCTTATAGGCAATCTATATTATATGAAGATTCTAAAGGTCATCCATCCATCATCATCATCATGATCATCCGGCTGATCTGATCCAAACAATGAAAGGTGGTGAATGATGTTGTCCTCTTGTGCGTGCGCAAATGCCCAGCACCAACACGGCACCATGGAATTGGAGGCATTCCCATTCCAGCACTGGCCCTGGAATTGAAAACTGCGATGCAAGACCATGAAGAAAGGGCCTGCGGCGAAGCTGGGCGGCAACAGCCAAAACTTGTAGGCGATGGGCGATGGCCAAAAAAAACACGTGTTTTCTTCTTTGGGCCAAAAAGGATACTGGCATTCCAAGCGCGGTTCGCGCTTGTTAGCAAATACCCTGTAGCTGCACAACTAAATTGCAACCTCAAATTGCTGCCTGGGTTCCTGCAAGGCTATGCAAGGCTTTTCAACGGAGCCCTTTGCCGATGTCTGTAAAGTTTATACATTTAAAACCATCATGAGCCCTTTCCTTTGCCGAGCTCTGAGAACACATCCTATTTTACAGGATGTCGTAAACTCTAATGAAACAGAAACAAGCTGAAAGGCAGTCACATGTGGACGCATGCTGCGCAAGCCATTCAAAGTCTTGGCTCGTGCTAAAGAGTGCCTTCGACCACATCTACCACAGGAGCATTGAACGTTGGCGTTGGCATTCTGCTTCTTGACCTCCCAGGTTTCCAAAAAGCAAGTCAGTTGCCTACGCACGCAAGCCAACAATGGAGCTTGCACAACCCTGACAGAAAGCACTGGAGGACCAGTTGACAACATGGTCATGAGGCTAGTGGCCGTTAGGGAAGGTCAGGCTGTCAACTCAAAGCAGAACACCAATGTAGCTGCCCACCCTTGATCCAAGTGTTGGTTTAAATTTTTAAAAGGCATCGAAAAATATAAAACATAAAATCAACAACGACCGAAAAAGTGAGACTCCAAATACAAACAAATTGAAACTCAAAAACAACAAAACAAAGGAACACTCAAGCTGGGATCTGGGCTCCTGCAACGACAGTGGGTATTTGGGTGCTTGGCCAGTGGAGGCTCTGAAATTTGTTATATGTTTTCTGAGTCTGAGCCGGTGGAGGCTATGAAGTTATTTCTTTGAGTCTGGAGTTGTTGTTTGTGCTTTTGCAGGGAAAATATCAAACCTTTACAAAATCAGAGTTAGAAAAAATCCAGACTCAAAGAATAAGACATCGGAGCCTCCACCGGCCAAGACTGAAACCACATAACATAACCTATTTCAGAGCCTTCCACTGGCCAACCCAAGTAACCCCTGTCGTCAATTAGCTGTCTGGTCCTTAGAACTCACAGTTGTAGACTGTCAAGGGGCGACCAACACTGCAGATCCAAGGGCTGGATGAAGGGCGCACGCATATGATATGACTTACTCAGGAAGCTCTTGCCACTTTTCACGACTAAACAAAGGTGGAAACAAGCTGAAGAGGCCCATGCCAAATGATGTCTCTCATGCCCCACGGCTGGCCTCCGCACGCATTTGTGATCATCATCTTTGGTTGACCACCACGCGATATTGAGGCCTTTAGTCCACGGGGTGAGGGAAAAACAACATCAATACGCATCTGCCAAGCTGCTTTGAATCTTCATTTCGTGGCTTGTGGCACTCATCAAGTCATATCACGGCATGCGTATGCGCGTGCATCATCCTTGTTTATAACTTATAACTAACCCTATATATATATATACACACACGCACATCCCCCGACAAAAGTCTGTTTGTGCAAAACGAACATGTCCCCCGTGGCTGAGTGGGGGGGGGCGCGTAAGGGAATACCAGGTTGAGTTTGTGTGACAGCTGCAGCTGTTTGTAAGAAGGTCCGTTGGTTCCAGCAGTAGTCACTAGTCCTTGTGGTGCACAACGCAACATGTATGGCCCACAGGTCATGGTCCATGTCTGGGAAGAGACTGAATCCAAGAGTTATTTGTTATTAACTCCTCTGTTGATTCTTCACCTTGGACCTCCATTCAATTTGTGACCTGAGAATATATAAAACTTACTACTGGTAACTCAAGAGGTAATTCAATCAGCTTGCCACCTGCAAGACACAAAGAATCACCTCTGGTTGCAATTCTCCTTTTGTTTAATGTTGGTTTTCTTTGTGACAAATGATGGCACAAGGAAAGAATCAACTCCTGATTTTATTCTTATTCAAACTTTAACTCCATGGGTTTGTTGCGTGTGGTTTGGTTTGCTGCTTCTTGTGTTTTGCTTTGCAAGGGGGTGGGTGACACATGATGTGGGGGCGATGGGAAGAGTTATATAACTCTTGATTTAATGCTTATTCAATCTGCGGTTTTCTTCTTCGTACGAGTATAGTTTGGTTCCTTGGTTCCCTGCTTCTTGTGTTTTGCTGTGCAGGTGGGCACAGGTGAAGTAGGCTAACAAAAGCATTACTGTAGCTGCTTAGCTCACCACCAGCGCAAACCTCACTACTTGATTCCTTCTAGTAATTCAATTCATGTCAAAGAAAAATGTGAACTACTGGGCCCAAACTGTAGAGAGATCCAAACGAAAGTTTAGGGAAGTTAGGCATCGCTGTGGAGGGCCGTTTTGTGTTTTTGCACTGCACTAAGACAGACTTAGATGGCAGGACAGGAGCAAAACGACACAAGAGCAGACAAGGGCGACCAAACCAGCCACCGTACCACCACTTCATCACTTCGCACTTTCCGCTGTCGCCAGCACACGGGCGGCAGCTAGTAGCGTCCTTGCTCCTAGTAGCGATGCCCCTTTGTTCCTAGTACCGCTCTTGTTCCTAGTAGTAAGGCCAGGAGCCCCTAGTAGCGTCCTTGCCCTTAAACAAGATTTTGGTGAACAACTTGCTTGTCGATGTACCCAACCGTACCCAATAGTATGGCCACTCATCCCATGAGCTAGGCAGCGAGAGGTCCACCTTTCCCTCCCTCTTCGCTCGCTTTGTTCCAACGATCGCTTCACGCGAAAACTCATATCTGCATATTCAATCATATATATAAATACTGTACACAAACTCCGCCATATACAGATGCATATGCGTACATAATATGATATAACATTACAAATTTGACAAAGTAAAAAGGAATCCATCAACTCAGGAATCCATTGATCGAAGCCTTGAAGCAGTTGCAGTTGATACCCTACTGGTTGTTGAAGAAAAGCTTGCCAGGAGAGGATCTCTCATTTGTGGGACACCTTGGTCCACATGCATAGCTCATGCTGGCCTTATCAAGTACCCATTCTATGTTGATATAGTTCTGATAAAGTTTTGCCAAGACGCGGGTTAGCGGGAAGCTTCCTGTCTGGACAACTGCAGTCGTAGCTGCAGTGGGCTGTACGTGCCCCGCATGCCCTACCCGAGGTACATGCAAAGAGCTCTGAAGTTGACCTCCATGAGACTGTCCTACTGCCTGTGTTGACTGCCTTGCACGGGAATGAGACCACAACGAGTTTGTATCAACCCCACATGAATTTACATATACATATATATATACAAATATATAATATATATATATATATGCACTGAACGCTGGCCTGTAACTGGAGCTGGCTGCACTTTGTGGTCGCGCAAAGCTTGGTGATTGAGCTGAGCTTGGAGAGGCAATGCTCGAAGGTCTTGGCAGTGGCAGGCGGCGTGTGGTGGTCCTGCAAGCACTGCGAACACTGGTGCAATGATATGCAATGATGGTGTCTTCCAGGAATGCAATGCCTTCTCTTGTCTTCCTCTCGTTTCTCAGTCTCTGCCAGCTCTTGTCTCTTTTCATTGCCTCTTGTTTTTGAACAATTCGGACAATGCAAACCAGCACGGTCCATTGTCGTCTGGCAGCCGCAGCAGCAATGTCATGAAGCTGCCGAGCCTGAGTTTGAGGCTGTGGCGTTGCAAAGGCAAGGACCAAAACAAAATGGCAAACGAAGCAACATGCAACGGAAAGGACGCTGTCTCAGTGGTGCTTCAAGGTGTGGCACAAGAGTCAACATTAAAAAACCTTAAAATGGAGCTACAGCGGCTACAGCAGTACCCTTCCTTCCCTCTGAAGTTGATTTGGAAAAATATTCTTGTAGCTTAAAGTCCCAGCCACTGAAATCGGACCCGGCTTGGCTGAGGCTGAGCTTTCTGGCTGCTCTGGGCGGCGCTTCGTTCGGGTAGGGGATGCCGCTGCCGATGGAAACGCTGAGACATCTGCTGACGGTGGCACGGACTCGGTCACTGATGGCGCCAAAGACGGAGCCATCGAGACAGGTAGCTTTGGCGCGGGCAACGAAGGCGAAGACATCTGGAGAAGGCAGAAGAAGAATGACAAAAAAGAATCCAATGATTTGCTTTCGGACAATCAATCATGCAAAGCACCAATGGCCAGAATGCAATTTGCACGAACATTGCCAATATCATATTACTTATCATTTCTTTTGTCTATGCATATCTTATATATATATAACTATATATATAGGGTCTTGCTATCCAGCCTGGCCCAGGAAGTTCAGTGTGTATTGCAACGTCCATTTTCGTCTCCGCACAACATCAAGCATGATGCGAGGTGCCGCTCGCCAATCTCGGCTGGACCAACCAGTGGCGTACTGCCAGCCTTCAGCGTCCTGAGCGCTCTTTGTGAAAGCGGACAGCTCGGAAAATGCAAACATTGTTGGGTGCAGCTTCGTGCGCCAATCAAGTACCTGACTACGCATGAACAATATGAACAGCTATACTCTGCACCCATTGCAGTGAACAATCATGAAAAATACTACTCAAGTCTTGGCGTCGGTATCTGAATTAATCTCGCGCTGCCACGTTCCGTTGGGTTTCCAGAAACGAAGCTGTCTGATGGGTGGCCCTTTCTTTTTCCGCGCGGCATTCCGATTTGGATCCAGCAGTGGATGTCGTCTCTGCAGACCTGCAGTGAACTCTCATAGACGCTTAGCAATATATAAACTGTCACCTTCTTCCATCAAGCCACCTTCAGCAACCCAGCCATTCTGCTGCTCTGGTTCATTTGGTAGAAAGGGAAGCTGCCACCCAGACTCAAAGCCTGCTGCACGACATTCGCTCATGCTTGAAAATACTTGTCTTTGCACATTGGTGCATGTGCACGCGCGAAGTACCGCAATTGCGTGCACGACACATCACCATGCGTTCCCTCCTCAAGCATGCTCAACACGGAACGACACACCACCAAATCCACGTCTCACGTCGCTGTTGCAAAACAATGATGTGATAGGCGGGCCTCTCAGCTAGTGACCGAAGCTATAGCAATAACCTAGTTACTGGGGACGGTGGCATGCCTCAGTCAAACGCAACCCAAAGCCGCACCTGCAGAAGCTTAAGGTGTACTAGCGGGCATCCTTCCCGTCGTATTCTTACAGAGCCTTTACATGCATTGCTCCACCAAAGCCGGCGCCCTCGTCACAGCCTGCTGCTATTGCAGCCCTTTGCACTTCCCAACATTCCTCCACCACCACAGTCTTGTTTTCCAGCTCGTCCCCTTGCATTGCCCGACGCAAGGTCGACAATGTCAAATGCAAGATTTCCACCTGAGAGCGGTAAGAACCACTTGGTGACACTTGGATGGCAAGAACTTGGAAACTCAGCAGCTGTGTATAACACGCCTGCTTCGGTGGTAAGCCGCAGTCATAAGATGATAGGAGTGATTTTAACGATTGTGGAAGCTCTTGGCATACTCCCCACGGCATTGGCAAGTCAAGAGTATATGGGCGAAGGCTCCTTGGCTAAGGTGGAATCGCTGGCGTCAAAACGTTTCTATATCTTCCTGTTGGCATTTCCTAAATTTGGCAAAGGCACCTCTGCTGGCTAATTGACATGTGCCCAAACTGGCCATTCGCTTGTTGTGCTCTGATCTCCAACTGCAAAGGGGGCTTCTGTTCCTTCTCCTCTTGTTTGCTCTCTGCCCATTTTGCAGAGATCAGCGAAGAAAAGGGGATTGCATGGCGAATCCTGATGCAGTGTTGTTGGAAAGCACAGCCATTCCAAGGCTCCCAAAATCCTACCAGTGCGGGCAAGGGGCTGAAAGCTGGATTTGGATCCGGCCGGCCGATCCACTGCGCGCAAATGCTGAAGGATGCGGGAATGGACCTTGGTCTGGTCAGGTCATGTTCTTGCATGTTTTGTCTTCGAGTGAAGAAACATGTTTTGCTTAAGCACGCGGCCATGTTCTTCCCGCTCATTTCGTATCCTAAATCGGGGTAAAAGCTCTTGACCTCGTGCAGCCTATGGCAAGCTGGGTTGGACTTCAGATATGTGGGGAGATACATAGGTATACTGTATACCTAGTTATATATATACAGTATACCACAAGTGCACATTATAAACATACACGCGTTTGGCTTAAGATCATGAAGAGGCCATTTGCCTTTGGCTGCACACAACACGAAGCGCAGGAAGTACAACCTCGCACCTCTGGTTGGGAATTTCAGCCAGCAAAATCTCGTCCTTCGTGACCACCAGTGCCTCTCACTTTCTCACTGCAACTGAGAACCATTCAAAGTATTTAACTATGGTGGGCATTGAGAATCACATCAACCCAACCAAGGACAGTCTGCTTGCCTCGAAACTAGGCCCCATAGGTGCAGTTTCAGGATGGTCTTCATCACTGGATTCGTGGACCTTGTCATTGTCTTGCTGGTCTTGCGGCTTTTGGTCCTTCCACCTGGACGTTCCCGGAATATGCAGCTGCATCAGGTGACTGGGGTTAATTGCACTTGAGCGGGGAAACACGAAAGGTAGAGACGGACCGGGCAGCTGTCGGGACCTTTTCTGGTGAGGGACTGTCTCCGGTGTTTCAGGAACGTGCCCCGTGGTCAATCATGGATCAAGCCAACAAAGCCAGAGAGCACAAGAAGGCTCAAGAGGAACACCGTTGCGGTCAGATTGCGCCACACGGCTCTGCAGAGAGGCTGCGTTGCGTCGACGCTCGTTTGTGTATGGGTGTGTGAAAACAGGCGTGCGTAAAAGTCGCAATGCGTAAACGCTCGCATGTGTACCAGCTATGGTCCCACAGCTGCACGCACTGTGTCAGGATTACAGGCCTGCACGCGTTGCGTCGAAGCCGCAGTGACTCAGTGACCAACCCCCTTGTAAGGATAGTGCTGGAGGGGCGCGACCGGTACTGCCAGGGATGGACGTCACGCTATGGTGGGTGTGCTCCACGACGCGGTAAGATTTCGCCACGCTAGGGTATAAGGCTGAGTCGAATGGTGTTCCGCGACGCGAGGAGTTTCTCCACAGGGCTTTGCAGAGAGGCTGTGTTGCATCGATGCTCGTTGGTGTCGAGCAATATGGTCTGTGAACGCAGTACGCGCTGTGTCAGGCTGCCATAGGCTGCCGGGTGCGCACGCGCGGCCTCGAAGCCGCATTGCGCGACCTCATTGCGCGGGGTTCGTGCTGTATTGCGCAACGTCACGGCCAGCGTCGTGCTGCTGTGACTGCCAAGCGCATGACTTCACCTTATGTCCAGAATGCTAGTAGTGCTGGCGACGAGGGGAGGGGCCGGGGAGGGGAGGGGGAGGGGGTGAAAGAGTGACTAGGGCGTACACGGTAGAGGTGCAGACCGCTAGTGTCTTTTACGCGCAGAGTCTTATCCTCTTGCTCTTTGAGCCTTGAAGCAGTCAAGCATGGACACACTATATCAGCTGTTGGAGTGGAACCCTGTACAGGTAGGCTCTACTTTTCAGCAGGCACAAGATTCATGTCCACTTCTAGCTGATTGCGTATGTCGCATACTCTTTTCTACTGCAAGGCTAAATCAGTCCAGCTAGCTCTGACAACTTAAAAGAAAACTACGGTGCCATGTACTTACCTAATCCAGTGTGTTTCACACTTCAGAGAAGGTAATCTCATAGCTACTAAATACAGTGAGGGAGCAATAGCTGACTCACCTCAAGTACAAAATCAAAGCGATAATGTACCTCGGCTGGAGACTGTACTTTTCGCAGGCGGAGATACCATGTACCGGCGCTCACTAGCTCTTTAGGGCCTGAGCTAAATCAACTAAAAGGGAAAGCGGCTTTTTCTCGACAGAGACCTATAAAAGAATCAAACGACACTCGCGTAACAAAGAACTAAAAATTCAAGACCGCACAAATTCAATTAATTAAAATGCCTTGCAAAATGCAAGGAGCGTACGGTCCGAGGAATAATCTTCTCGTGACGTGGTCTCGGCCGCTTTCAGTCACAGACAAAATAAACTGCATCAAAAGGACTCTCTTTCACATTCACATCAAAAACACAAGAAGGAGATACCGGCAAATGTATGTACAAAAAAAATCTTGCACTACAATTGCAAATCATGAAATGACTTAATCATCAACCATGACTGGTTGTCCATTAGAGGTCACTCAGAAAAGCGACTGTGATAGATATCATCAGTTATGCAAAACTGTCCATACCTATCTCCATGCTAAAGCGTATAAACCTGGAATGCAGGAGTATCTTCTTTGATAAAAAGTTTCTTTTCATTGCAAACCAGAATTTATTAAAACTTCAGCCTGGCAACTTAAAGTCAAGCCTGGAAGCAAAGTATCAACTGTAACCAGAAGTATCTTCACTTCCTAGCCATCATTTAAATTTCAGCCTTCGCTCAGGAATTATGCCGCTGCAAACGATGAAGTTGCTTGATCAGAAGTTGGCGGCCTTCCTTTCCTTTTATTCTGCTTTTGTCTCTCCTTCCTCCGCAAGTTAGCCTCATGAAGAGTTGGTCCCATGCGATACTGTTTTCTGTCTCCAGATGAAAAGGAAGCTGGTCTGAGTGAAATAAACATTGGACCATGACTGTCCTCGTCAGTGGGCCTTGAGCACATAACCTCCGTGTCAATCATGGCAAAGTTCTCTGAAAAATTGCAGATGAACTCCTTCGTGCTCACTGTGGAATTTTCATATTCCTCTTCACTCATTGAATGACCCCATTCAACAACGGTAGACAAACATGTATCGCCAAGCTTTGATCCTTGGTATTCTTCCCTTTCAACAGTAGAATATTCTTCCCAGAGTTTGTCAAAGTAATCTTCACAATTCTTGAGGACCTGTGAAGTTGAACTATAAAATGTTCTGGGAATAGGTGCTTTGATACCAGGATCTGCTTTGACACGAGCTTCTGAAAACCTGCGGATCCAATGCTGCATGGTGCTGTAATAGTAGTTAGCCATTGGCTGCCTTTTGTACCCAGACATTCTGTAGGCCAAACTATTTGCATCACCAGAAATGATGTCCACCTCATAGACAAAACACTCGTAAAGCATCAATGCTGTTTGTTCTCCTGTCAGTAGGTGGGCATCCACAGCACGGTGTGTATCAACATGATAATTACAGACTCTGATGGTATGCATGTTCGCTCGAGTAAGTGGAACACGCTTGTCCTCAGGACCATAGTCGTCAAATTCAAAGTCTGCATCCTTAAAGTCTTGACGAGGCCTTGTTTCTCCAAAACAAATCTCGTAGATAGCCCAAGTTACATCACGCTGTTCACAGTGACCAAGGTCTTGGTCATGTCCAGCAATGATCTTGACATATCCACCTGGTGCCAATCTAGCCATCACTGCAAGATTCTCCCAATCATTGAAACAAACTGTCCAATTCTTTTGCTCAATAAATTCCTTGGCAGGAACAAGAAGATGAGCTTCCTGGAGAATAACGACATGCGCACGTAAAAAGAAGAGCATGTTGAAGAAAAGGTTGTTCTCAAATTGCTCATTCTGAAGTGACATGGCGCTCTGTTTGCGTGGCCTCATTGCACTATCAAGTCCTTGGAGAAACCTTGGTGTGGTATACTTCTGACCACGAACCATATTGCCATAGTTCCAGGATAAAAATGTCAAGGACTCCGAGCTGGCCAATAAGTTAGTTCCATATGGTTCTTCTATTCTTCCCTTGAGGAACCTTCTGCACAGCTCTTCATAGAAGGTGACAAAGTCCCAACTGGGTCCCTTGGGACCATATGATTCCAGTTCCTTCTTGAGTTCCTTTTTCGTATCCTCCAATTCTTCTCGAGCATGACCTGCCCTTTCAAGGGCCTTTGGATCGACCTGATACCTGCCATCCAAATAAATGATGCGGTCATCATTGATGAAGAATCTCTTCAAATCATGCTCTGGTTCATGTTCATAACAATCAGGTGGAGGTACTGGACAGATATTGCGAATGGATCGAACAAAATCATTCTCGTTGATCCTTGACTGATAATGAGGATGGGAAATCTCACCTTTTCTGAAACAAACATGATTCAGCAATCTTGCATGAGTTTCCCTGAAGCATAGTTGATAAAAGCCAATACCTGGATCTCCTGTAAGCTCTCCAAGCAACTTCAAAGGTGAAGTATGCAACTCATAGGTATTGTCAGCTTTTGTTGTATCCTTTTCAACAACTACTTCAGATGGAAAAGATTCTTGGATTTCAGCCTCCAATTTCTTCTCTCCATCATCCTCTCTGACCTCTTTTATTTTCTCCACCGCCTCTTTCTTCTCTTCCATGGTTGCATCATCCTGAACTTCTTCATGAAAATGAGGATCAGGAATCTTATTCAGGCGGCTTTTCTTAGATTTCCGCTGACCTGAAGTATCATCAAGGTTAGCATCCATCTCACCTGATGGTAAGTGCGATGCAGTTGAGTCCTCACCTATCTCTCTTGACAGAAAGTGTGGCGTTGACTCTTCCTTGGCTTCCTCCTGGTCAACTTCCATCTTTAGTTCCTCTGAAGGGAAAACACCTGCATCTTCGTCAAATATTTCTTGTTCCTTTCCAGGTTCAACTGCAGGATCTTCTTCAGGAACTTCCTCTTCCATATCCTCATCTTCCAGAAGTGTCATACTTCCAGTATAACCTTCACCAGCGATAGTGGAGACTCTTGTATAAGGAGGAACTTCTTCACCTGCTTCAAAAGCTTGTTCTGCAACATCCCTGTTGAGCAAGTCCTCTACAAGATTTTCTCCCTCGGTTCTTGGAAGAGGTCCTGAGGTCTCATAAAAATCTGTCCTCTCTGAACTGAAAGCTTCTGTCGCCTTCTCATTGTCCTTTTGATCCCTGAACAGGTGAGTAATCTTCACAGCTTCTCCCTGTAGCACCTGATCACTTTCTCTATACTTGTTGACAATGGAGCGCCATACTGGAACATCATCATCATCAAAATCAAGCTCCATATCATCTGCCAACAGGTATGAGATGTTTTGAGCTGCCTGTTCTTCTCCTTCATCACGTTCTTTGGCAAGCTCCTCATCCTTCTGGATCTTGAAGATACCCTTCAGGATGTCTTGTAGTACCTTTAAGTTCAGCTTCGATGATGGCTCATACGTCCCTGAACTTACAGGCTCAACTACAACACGAGAGCAAGAAATCGCCTCCAAAAACTTGGAATTGTATTGGCGTTCAAACTCTTCCTTCTTGATCATCTCATACAAGGGATCAGAAACTGCAACACGCGCCTGAACATACTCACGAAGTTGATAGCATGCATGTTGCACAAATCTACTGTTGGAGTTGTGAAGAAAACTCTCTAGATGATTCCTGTCACGGTCAATCAAATACCACACAATCCTTGCAGAAAAACGGAATTTCTTGAAGTTCATAGCAAAATGTGTATGATACTTCTCTGGATTCCTTTCTGCTTGTAAGGCGGCCTCTGAAGTCTTGTAAGCTGGGAGATTTGTGTCTGGATCCAAA